AAAAATGCCTTTTAATGCACTTATTCAAGTCTTGAGGATCCAAACACAACCTTGAGGATTTATTGGGTTTTTCAATAATTACTAAATTATTTATCCACTCACTTGCCGCATCTACTCTGCTTATAATATTTTGTCTCTCTAATCTATCTAGTGTTTGCTTCAACCTATCTTTTATAAGTAATGGTACCCGCCATGCAAGTCTAGCTACAGGTATACTATACTAATATTATTTTTTCCTCAGTATTTGTATTCAAACCTGAGATTTAAACTTATGTAATTGTAGTGTCTCTCTATTAAGTACCTAAGTAACTTATTAAGTCGTGGAGTTTATGGTTTTATGCAGACTGGCTTAAAGGCACAACTGAACTGAAAAGAGCTATTACCAAACTAATCTCATCACCATGTGAACAAGAAGAAATGTGATCCATTTCAGAAAACTTCCAGAAACGGCTCCTACCAGAGAGGCTCAAAAGGTTCAAGGTTATAAGATGGAAAAAACGAAAATTCCACTAGCACATGCAATCCTCTGTACAATGCTCGTATTGTGCATTCCACAGCATCAAAGCAAACTATACACTACATCATCCAGAAAAAGGATTATTTATTGAACACTTGGGCACATCCAGAATCAACCGAGGAGAATTCAGATTACAGCTAGATATCAACAAAACAAGAACCATGGACGATGCAAGGAAAGTGACAGAAGTTAGAGACAACTTTCACAAGCGGCCTTCTTTCAACACGCCGAAGTAAACGAGGGATCCTCGGCAAATTTATGTGACAGCAGTATTTGCAGTGTATGAGGAAGTGTACAAGGACATCGACAGTCTTGAAGACAATCAAGAGGAATTGATTAGAGCATCAAAACATCAAACGAGATTAATGGTGTCAGCCGTCTCAAAAATCAACGACACGGAAATTGAAGTTGAGACACAACTACAGAAATTACAAGAAAAACTCAACAAGGGTCTCAAGGCTATCAATGACATGAGAGCATGGTATAGAACAGCAGACACCAACACCCTAAACATCCATGTTTCCAATTAGTGTCAAACTATATATCGGAACTCAGCAACTATTACTCCAAGCTGTTTACAGTCATTTACGAGATAGGATCAAAATATACACACTACTATCACCTGTCCATACATCCAGGATAATCAAAGAGGCAAATGGGAAGCTGCCATCACATCTGAGGATATGACGGATTCTGGCGAGAACAGTCGTGGTGGAGAAGGAAGGGCAATGGTTCAGGATATCGATATACGCATACTTCACCATTGAATATATACGCACTGATAAAAACATTTACGATACCACTTCGCATAGAAAACGAATCCTATTGGGCATTAGACGTCACAGCAAAATACTTGCAGTCGACTACAACTACCAACCAACTCACGACAAGATGCAGTCATGTACTAAAAGAAAAACCACGTACGTTTGCGAACCACTCGAACCAGCCACTGTCAAGAATATTGAAGCAAGCCCAAACTGATGTGTAATCGACGACATTTATCAAATACATCAAGGAGCAAAGTGTTCAATTCAAAAGACTAAAATTTCCACGATCATATGGATAAGCAGCTGTATACGCCAAATAGCTGAATAGAGCAGACAGAGGGCCAGACTGGGAGGATGTTTGATCAACATTTTTCTATAATAAATCTTACAGACAAACAAAATATCAATTCGAATCTCACCAAGAGAGAGAATAAGGAACGACCATATAAAACAGCAAATGGGAATAGAAGGAACGATATTTCAGGACATTGAAAGGAAACAACTTACCAGCTACGGACACGTAGAATGAATGTCAAATACCAGATGGCCCGAAGAAATGCTGCATTATGTCAACCAACAGGTAGAAGAAAACGAGGAAGATCAAAACTGGAATGGCAGAAGACCATACATTCCATGAGTGAAAGAAATCTCTCATCAGAGGATTGCGACGATAGAAGAGGACGGAAATTAGTTGTTGGACAACGAAGACGCTCTAAACCGACATATATGCAGGGTGTCCGGAATAACTTGAAGTTCATGGGGATTAACAACTTAAAATTGATGAAGGACTTGACCGACAAGGTAGAAATGAAACAGGTCTCGGTAGCTCAGTTGGTAGAGCAATCCACTGAATATGCAAGGGTCCTGAGTACAAATCCTAGTCGAGGCAAGAAAATTTTTCATCAATTCTAATTAAAGTCTGACGATGAAACTAGGAAATTATTATTTAGGTTTTTGTACGAATATCGATATTTTCTAGAATTTCAAATAGAATTTCTTGCTTCGTTTAGCGACTGCCTAATATGCTTATATTAATATATCGTCGAAATTCAGTTAATTATACGGCTTGAATGTCAAACGTACAAATCTGATCCATCCCGAGGGATAATTATTGCATTTGCGTGTATGGCAATGCCTCTATTTGTTTTGCATTAGAGATAAATTTTAGTTGTATGTATATTTGCTGTGCTTTTGTGCTCGAATTGTAAGCTAATCTTATTAGCGATTGTGAATATTAGATCGGAAATAATACTGATATCATATTTGGGAAATAGGTAGGTCTTTTCAATATTAATAGTACAAATACATGCAGTTAACTATAGGAACGATATTTTAAAATTTGAAACGAAAAGCTCTACATGGATATAAAAAAGAAATTAAGGTTGATAAATAAATAATATTAAAATGTACTGAAGTTCAAACTAGGTTACATGTTTTAATAATATTTTATTCAATCACGCAAATGCAATATAGAAAGGACATTAAAAATATTTTGTGTTTTAAAATTACGTTTAGTATTCAGCTGCTTTAGCAACTAATGGAGATAAATTCAAATAATATAAAAGTATAAATGAATAATAAAGTAAAAATTATTAAACATCATATTATAAAGGAAAACGTTCGGCAGAGTATGAGCATATCTTCTATAAGTGGTATAAGTTATATAGCTTATCACCCATCGAGAAGTTTACTTGAAAGGTATGCAATCGAATATACGATAATTTTAGGATAAGTACAAGAAAATTGTGTTTCAAAGCAATCATTATACAGATTAGAAAAGTAGGTACATTGATTATATAGTTTCTGGGAGATGTTTTGTTGGCATTGTGAGACCCCAAATTCAGAAACTTGGCAAGATGTTAAATTGGCGAGCGGTGATTTTAGTTTCTGAGTGGAGACACAGTTTAAAATGGGTCCTATTTGCGGGTGGAGAGTGAAACACAGAAATATTGTGGTCAATTAAAATAAAGTTTATTTATTCTATCGCGAATGGTAAACTATCATTTAATCGACTCAAAACTCGTTGTTAAAGTAACACTTTATTTGAAGTAGTGAAATCAAACAATTTTTACCAACCCATTTGTCAATTTTACCCACTCATACGTCAATTTTACCCACTCGTTCTCTTCTTTTATAATATTTATAGTGTTTTTGACAGAAATCTGATATGTTGCATGATTGACAACACCAGAAATGTGTCAGTTTGTTAGGTACTTTGTCAATTTGTCATAATTTAGCACATTTTAGTTTATGATTTTAGTAATTGTGATAAATAAAAAGTGGCTCAAGAATAAAATAGAATATTACACACAACGGTAAAAAAGCTTTACCTGTTCGTGGAATTAATCCACTCGCTCCTTCGTCGCTCGTGAATCAACATTTTCCACTCACAGGTAAAGCATCTTTTTACCGTCTTGTATAATAAATAACTATTTCTCCATAGCTACTGGTAAAGTAGCCTTTAATCTACTAAACATAGTAGTTGTTATTTACAGTTTGACTCGATTCACACTCTTGCCTTCACAATTTCTGGCTGAACAAAAAAAACTCAACTTACATTTAACAATAATATATTTACTGCTGACCACACCTAATTACATTGAAATCTTATTGGTCGAAGGAATTTTCGCGCTATTTCACGTTGTGCTTCTTCTCTCGGTTAATTCGACAACTCTTTCACGCCGTAGTTCTGAATTTCTGGACACAGGATTCTCGATAACTACTTGTTTCTTGATTACTCAACCGACACTGGTCCTTCACGCCGTAGTTCTGCCGGTTTTCTCGCTCTTTCTCGAACACTCTTTTCTCGAACACTGATTTTCTCCTATCAAAGTTTCCTTTTTATATCATTGGTCCCTCCATTGTATTGAATTTCTTAATTGTTTCTGACCTCGATTTTTCGTGGTTGAATCATCCGATCAATTAGTGTATTTGGCCCTCTTTGAATTAATTATCAAGGGCGTCGCTAGGTGGTTTGTTAAGTGGGTATCATCATATAGGCTCGTGCATGATTTATTGATCCTTTTGGAAATTTTTCGGCTCCTTTGGAATGTTAATTGTTGAAAAAACTTAAAAAAAAAGGTCCATGAACTTCTGCTTTATTCACATTCCAATTTATTAGTCAATATAGAATATGGGCTTTCAATAATTTCTGGATATCGATGTTCAGATAATTTTAAATTGAAGTTTCTGGTTGTGCTGTCTAAGTGATGATCTCTCCTGGGATGGTTATTTGGTAAGTCCTTGTTATTCTTGATTAATTTTCGGTAGTTGGATCCTAGGTCTTTAGTTGTTTAGAATAATCAGAACCTTTAATTGTTTTCTTGGAGGTTTATTTCCACTACAGTATTAACAAATCATTTTTAAGAACTTTCATAATTCACCAAATTTTGGCACAATAATGAGTTAGTGAAAGTATCTTTCTACGTTTAAAAAAATTACAAAACTAAAGCATAACTCACTATTTTAACGCTCCACTAATTATCCTTTCATGGACTTATTCGCATTCAATTCTCTACCACTTGACTCACTGCCGTCTAAATTCATCAGTGACTTCGCTGGCTGACTCCGTTTTATAGCGCGTCATTGCGCAGTGAAATTCCATTCGCGAATTTTCTAACAAGATTGTGCACAATTTCTCCAACAATAAGTAATCAAACAAAAAAATTTAAAACCAAATTATGTTTAGATGTTACTGGTTTTTGATTGTTACCCTGATGGTAGCAGTAGCCACATGGCAAGGCATGAAGGTGTACAATCACTATAAACAGAGGCCCGTCATTGTGACTGTAGATAAATCCTATTACAAATGGAATATCGAGTATCCCACAGTTACAATTTGTACAAAACAACTCAAGAATGAAGACGAATTGAGACAGGAAATTGAAACTTTGAGCTTGTAAGTTGAGATGTATATAATCTTATATATTCGGTAGTAGAGTAGAACAAATTTCCATTCAATTTTAATTTTTCCTAAACTTCATTGTTATTTTTTATATATAGCAAATATAACTGGCCAGATGAAATACTAACAACAGAATATGACGATTTTGTTAGCTACCTCGAAGATTTGGCATTTAAAAACTATAAAAATTACGACGAATATAAACCATATGCAACCAATCAGAAAAAAGAGTATTTGAAACCTGAGCAGTACATGGAGGTAAATAAATATTTAGAATTCATTTAAAAAATAATCAACCTAATTTATTAGGTACTGAATCGAGTTGTCTTTGATATAAATTATACCGAAAGAAAAATGAAACACCAAAAATTTGAACCTGTGAAAGTCATTGAAGTTGTTCCCAAGTCAATAGAAAGAGTTTTCACTGAAAGAGGCTTATGTTATGTAGTTAACTCCAATGTCAGTAGGTTTTATACTCCAGAGTAAGTAACTTTTTTTTGGTTATAAATCAATTTGTATGTATCTGGATATTGTTTTAGATATGTTAATTCAAACAGATTTTACCCAGACTATCAGATAATCAGCTATAATATACACAAAGAAAGGATGATGACTTTGAAAATGTATATAAACAACGATAGTTATGTAAGTACTTTTTCCATGTTTGCAGCACTGGATCTTGCCTGGTTACTAGATCTCCGTTGTCGTCGTTTATGATGTTGTTGTTTCTGGGTCGAAAGCCATTCTTTCTTGTTCTTATTGTCTTGTATAATTTCCTGGTTTATTCCTTCCATCGACTTCCAGCTCCTGCAACACTCAATCATGATTTTTTTTTAGATTTTCCTTCATGCTTCAAATGAAATAATGGATATAACTGATAAAGGAACTTTTATCAGACACCATTACCATAAATATTCAAAGTTTCAGTCTGAAATTGTTAGAACAAGCAATGATGTTGTACCTTTAACTGTTGAGGTATTTATATATTGATTTAAAACGTATTACATTCTTATTTAATTTGAAATTTGCAGCAAAAAAACTGTAGAAATCCTCTGGAAAGTGGTGAAAAACCTCTAATACATAGCCCTGTTTACAGCAACAATTTGTGTAAATATGAGTGTAGAATAAAAATTGCTTTGAAGTATTGCAATTGTAGTCCTTATTATTACAGACGCTTAGGTATGTATTTTGTATTTATATTGTGCTTGTTTCCATTCAAATATTTTTCAGCCAATGAGCCAGTCTGCAATTTAACTGGCCTCTATTGTCTTTCGAAATATAAAAGTAAGTAAGTTTGTTTTATCAAGAGAATTAGTTGAACAAGCTTTCTGAACTTCATACTTTTGAAAAAGGAAAAACAATCTTATTCCATAACTGCAAACATGCATAGGTACAGGGTGTTTTTTTATGTATTGACACCCCACCTACAACCTTTAGCTTTACAGGTAGAAGAAAGTTGTAAATACAAAAGTTGTACAGTTTTATTGGCTGAATTTTTAGAAACCATGGTCAGAAACAAAATTTGATTGACAGAAATGTGAAATTTTGCATACTTCTAGCTTTTTTTCAAATCAATTTTTGTTTCTGACCATGGATTCTAAAAATTTAGCCAATACTGTACAACTTTTGCATTTACACCTTTCATCTACTTTTAAAGGTAAAGGCTGTAGGTGGGGTGTCAATATATAAAAAAATACCCTGTATTTGAACAATAAATTATTATATGAAGTCAGAATTTGTAAGATTATCCACTTTTTGTCAATTTGCCTTTCAACAGAAATTAGTAATGTTACTTTACCAAACTAGTAACATAATGTGACAAGTAATTCAAGTACAAATGAGTGAATTGTTGCGGAACTTATGGGTGGACCTCTGCGGGACGAGCGCAGCGAGTTCCGCCGCCATTTATTCATCAATATGTTGTTTAATTACGAGACTAAACTGACTCACTCAAATGTGCGTTATTCTCATTAGTTTAAAAATTACACGTTTCAGGTGAATATTTTACTTGAACAATTCAACAGTATATTGGTGATTAGATGGCAGAGGTCCACCCATAAGTTCCGTAACAATTCACTTATTTGTACTTGAAAAATAACTTATGTAAAGTCAGAATTTGTAAGATTATCCACTTTTTGTCAATTCGCCTTTCAACAGGAATTAGTAATTTTACTCTACCAAACTAGTAATATACATTGTATTGTGACAAGTTATTCAAGTACAAACGAGTGGATTGCTACGGAACTTATGGGTGGCCCCAGCCATCTATTCACCAATATGTTGTTCAAGTACCTACAATACTAACCTGATTCACTCAGTTGTGAATTTTTCTCATTAGTTCAAAAACTACACGTTTCAGGTGAGTGTCTTATTTGAACAGTTCAACAGTACATTGGTGAGTAGATGGCTGCGGAACTCGCTGAGCTCGTCCCGCAGAGGTTCACCCATAAGTTCCGCAATAACCCACTTATTTGTACAGGGTGTTTTTTATATATTGACACCCCACCTACAGCCTCTACCTTCACAGGTAGAAGAAAGGTGTAAATACAAAAATTGTACAGTTTTGACTGCATTTTTAGAAACCATGGTCAGAAACAAAATTTAAATGTCAGAAATGTGGAATTTTGCATGCTTCCAGCTTTTTTCAAATCAATTTATGTTTCTGACCATGGATTCTAAAAATTTAGCCAATTATACTGTACAACTTTTGTATTTACACCTTTCATCTACTTGTAAAGGTAAAGGCTGTAGGTGGGGTGTCAATATATAAAAAAATACTCTGTACTTGGAAAATAATTTATTATATAAAGTTAGAATTTGTAAGAATATCCACTTTTTGTCAATTCGCCTTTCAACAGGAATTAGTAATGTTAATTTACCAAACTAGTGATATATTGTGACAAGTTATTCAAGTACAAACGAGTGGATTGTTGCGGAACTTATGGGTGGACCCATCCATCTATTAACCAATATGTTGTTCAAGTACAACACTAACCTGATTCACTCAGTTGTGAATTTTTCTCATTAGTTCAAAAACTACACGTTTCAGGTGAGTGTGTTATTTGAACAGTTCAACAGTACATTAGTGTTTGCGAAACTTATAGGTGGGCCTCTGCGGGACGAGCGCAGCGAGTTCCGCAGCCATCTATTCATCAATCAATATGTTGTTCAAGTACAATACTAACCTGATTCACTCAGTTGTCAATTTTTCTCATTAGTTCAAAAACTACACGTTTCAGGTAAGCGTCTTGCTTGAACAGTTCAAAAGCACATTGGTGAGTAGATGGCTGCGGAACTCGCTGCGCTCGTCCCGCAGAGGTCCACCCATAAGTTCCGCAATAATCCATTTATTTGTACAGGGTGTTTTTTTATATATTGAAACCCCACCTACAGCCTTTACCTTCATAGGTAGAAGAAAGGTGTAAATACAAAAGTTGTACAGTTTTGACTGAATTTAGAGAAACCCAGGTCAGAAACAAAATTTGAATGTCAGAAATGTGAAATTTTGCAGGCTTCCAGCTTTTTTCAAATGGAATGCCCTATATTTCATTCTATATTCTTGAATAGCACAATGCCCTGATCTATATTTGGTTGAGCAATCTCTCATATATTTGGCTCCAAAAATTGTGAAAATACTATCCTACTACTAATTTTGTGAACCATTCTACCTGTACAGGTGAAAGCTGCAGGAAAATTTGAGGTACGCAGTATTTCACATTTCTGGCATTCAATTTTTGTTTTTGACCATGGATTTTAAAAATTTAGCCAATACTGTACAACTGTAAAGGTAAAAACTGTAGGTGGGGTATCAATATATTAAAAACACCCTGTACAAGCAGGAGCTATTTTATGGAAGTGATGATTTCTTAATCCCAAATCCTATATTGGAACCCTAAATGAATTATACAAAAAAGTCCACAAAGCTTCTCCACAATATTACCAGATTATTTATGTGTATTTTTTCGAATTTTTCTAGTGAAACTTTTATATTTATTCGATTACAACTCCGAAAATTGTATACATTGTCCACAAAACTGCGATATTCATGTCGTCAATGAATTTGAAATAAAGAAAAATGAGTTGTTCTATTTGAGTACTGTTTTCGAATTACAAATGATTTTTCCGAAACAAATTTACGTAAGAAACCTAATATTTTCCAAGTTGGATTTAACAGGTAATTATAAAACAATATTACTGTATTAAAAATATATATATTTTGTTTTATAGTTCAGATAGGAGGAATATTCGGACTGTTTTTGGGCTGCAGTTTACTAAGTTTTGTCGAGATTTTTTATTCTTTGACATTACGCCTTGTATATAGCATTATCAGGCGACAGAACAAAACAGAAACATAAATAAATACTTTTATTCAAATAATCTTTTTCAGAAGGCACCCTTAATTTAGGATCGCACGGCTTTGAAGGAAAGGGAACAGTGTAATCCAAAATCAGAAAGGAGAAAAATCTCTTTTAAATTACATCGTCCTGTTTTAAATGCAAAGTTCTTCTGTCATTTGGAAACATCAGGATCCTTAATTGTGATATAAAGTCCTGCATTTTATTGGAACTTTTAACGTCTATCTGATATATTTCCGGAGATCACGGCATTTACTTTGTATTCAATGAACTCTTTAAACTTTATAACAGGAAAATGGTATATTTCAAGTTAAATAAGTTTTTAAATTGCTCTGACGATTTTATCCAGGACAACTTTTTATTGTTTTCTTGAAATTAGGCAGTCAATTTGAAAACTCTCAATATGCTATATAACTTTGAAATAACTTCAAATCTTCTGCATCCCCATTTTAAATAACACCCCTACCTTACATCACAGGTCTTATTATGTGCTAATTAAAGGCACAGTTGAGTCAAGAAGCTGGGACTTACTGAAAAAAATTCACAGTCTAGCAATTTGACCTTTTCTAATTAAGTTAAATTAAATGTTAAAGATGGATTCCATTTATTAGGAAAATGAATCCTATGGGTATCTTGAAACGAAAAGGCCTATAGGTTACAAGAACCTATAGACGATTGTCATTCAAGAATATTCTGATGGGATTTGATAAATCAGTTGTGTATAGTTGAGATCGACTCGAATTTCAACTCCAAAAAGCATCAGGCATCTTAAATTCTAAGTTGTATCTATGTGATAAATGGCCTCACCGAGCTTAACTTTCAACGTTGGCTAAATCCTCTTACAAAAGAGGTTTTGTGCTTTTTCTCGGGGAGGCTTAAGGTCTGAAATTCTTTATTTTTATTTTTGCCGTTCGCCACCTGAGCGATCTGGATTCTGCGCCCGTTGCATAAAAGGTCTTAAAAGTTTACAGTTTATTTCACTTTCTTAATCGTAGGGGTTGGCCTATTTACGGATTTAACGAGTTAAGTAAGTGAGGTTTTATAGAATTTTTAATTGTGTTGATTAAACTGCTTTACATTATAAATAAAAACTACCTTGCGTCACAATTTAAGCTTTATTGGAGATAATTTATAATTCTTGACATGATCCTTCTCTAACTATGCTCAAACTCTCTCCAAGTCCTCTGGTACGTAATTTGGTAACTTCACAGTCAAACTGACACTGATTCCCATAAGTGACACCATCGGAACCACAAAGCGGCTGGAGATTCAATGGACAAATGCACATTTGCTGTTCTATTGGTTCTCCATTATTAGAAAGTACCAATTGGAAGATGCTAAAAATTACCAAAATAATTAGACTAATAAATTTCATTTTTGCAACAATTAAGTATTTAATTAAATGAATCGTTCACCAAAAGGTTTCTTATATTAATTTATCAGTAGTTAAACTGTCATCAGAACTACTTATCTTGTAATTCCCAATGATGAATTTATGTGACATCAATTTTAGATAATAAATAGGTATACGTGCGTTTATTAATTTGCAGATTAACCCAGAATTATTTTTTTTGAAAACAGCAACAATGAAACATTTTACCATTTTACTAACATTTGCTCTCATTGTTTGTACAAAACTCGAAGATATTCCAGCTTTTGATGATCCAGTTATTAGTTTAGAACAAGCTTGTATGTGTCCAAAAATTTATATGCCAGTCTGTGCGTCAAATGGTAAAACTTACGGTAACAAGTGCATATTTGACTGTGAGCATATGAAATTACTACAGGCAAATGAAGAAGGTATAAGTTTAGTTAAGGAATATCCTTGTGATGAAGAGACAGAACTGTGAAAATATGTTATGAATAAATAAAAATTTGCTCAAAAATGCTTTTTATTTGTATTACCAACATTCAATAAATAATATTAATTCTAGCTTTGAAATGCCAACCAATATTGCAAGCTTTTGTTGAACTTTTAATTCCGTATTCAAAAAAAAAAAAGGTAAAAAATGGATTTATTTGCATTGTTTTACGCTTCATTTAAATAAAAATAAATGATTCCATTAGCAACAAAAACATGAATATTTAGCAATTTACGTTTTAAATAATCGATATTACGTAGGTATTTTCAATAGGATTGTAAATCATTGGTTGAAATATAATAAAAATGATTAATTAGATTTTTAGATCGTAAAGTTAGTTTAGTATGTTTAATATATTCAAAACAAAAACAAGGCTCATTCAGGGCAAACTATAGGAAAATTTACATGAGTAGGTACCTAACTTATCCAGTAGGCCAGTCAATACAAGCATCAAACATCGCAAACGCGCATGTATCTATGATTTTTTTATATATTGTTAGGACCCTTGTGAGTAACTTATACTCAAGTTTGCAACCCTGAAAACCTTGCGCTACTTCCGTTGTGCTCGAAAAACTTCGAAATTCTGGCACCATTACGTGGCAAAAACGTACACTGCCACTTTGTTACCCGCAAAACGTAACGGAGAAGTCAATAATAAGATTTTGAGGAGGGAAAGTTAATGGGTAACTAAAAAGAAAAAAAAATAAAAAGAGAAGAGAGAGAGTTGGTTGGTGGCTGAAATCTAGAAACGTGATTTCGTGTAAAGGGTTGCCGACTAGCTTCCAATGCGGAGAGGGGTGTGGGTCAATTAAATAACTAAATATAGAGCGCCACCTGCTTTTTTTCCCTGTAGTACACGAAATCAACCGATATAACGAAAGCAGGAAACTTCTACGGACCTATAGCAGCACAACCTGAAATATAAACGTAAACAAGAAGGAAGGACAAAAGTGAAACGCTTTGCTACAATCAGGTACGGGTTTTAATTAGAACTCGAACAGAATAGGTTTGACTCCAGAGCAGGTGCGGAGTGAGTTTTTTAAACGCCCTGGAACACTGAAAATTACTTACACTGGAACCAGAACAAGAAAAGAAATCGTCTAGAAGTATCTAACCATATGTTCTTAAACTAGTATTTACAATAATGATTAATTACACTCAACTTGAGTCCCTGAATAAAGAAATAAAAAGTATAACAATTAACAGCAATAATACCTGAAATATAAATTAATAAATAAGCTTACTAAATGCAGTACCTCCGTAAATGGCCATTTAACCCCAGTGTACAAGTATTTCCTGTATTCAGTGCAGCATGTAATGTCTGTTTTTTTTTTAAAGATAAAAGTCAAAATGACATTATGTTGGCAATACAATGTAAAATTGTCAATGCTTCAAATTTTTTATGTAGAAAAGGCTTGTGTTGCCAACATAGTTACTAAATTTTTGACTTGGGGAATTATCTTTAAAAAAAAAAACAGATTTTATAGTATTTTTAATACCTATTTAGAAGTACCTGTCGTTTTAGTGACAAAACGTATATCGCTTCTTGACACACAAATGAAATTAGGTTAGGAATTTCCTATTTGTAGATGAAATTGACGTATTAGCAGTCGACGTTCGTTTTTGTTGGTAATTTTTTGTTTCACCTGATTCGCGATTGATGAATAAGGATGAGGTTATTCTAAATGGGTACTACAAATACTTTATTTATGGGATAGTTATGAGAGAAATATAGATCAATATTTAAAGTTGAAGTAACAATAAATAGCCTGAGGGGAAAATTTAATATTATGGAATAATATAGAAGGTATAGATAAATACTTAAAATTGAAGTACCTAACAGTACATAACCTGAATGGTAAATTTCATATAATAAAGGTAATAACAACATCTAATCTGAAGGGTAATTTAATATTGTCGTAGAACTGCGTTGTTGTGGTGATTTACTCCAACAAGGGGGTTGGTAAGGTTTGATATTAAGACAATACAACAAACTTATCAAACCTGAGTAGTCCCTAATCTCTTGGGGAAACCTGACGGATGGAATTAATATCTTCCAGTGTTTCCGATGGCCTGGGACTGGATCAAGGCCGCAACAAGAAGCAACTGGCCCTGGGCACTGAAGTTCAGTAACCAGGAGTCAACAAGGCTTCCAATTGTCTTAGGAGGCTGAAGATAGGAGGTAGGTACGACTTGAAGTATACAGTAAGCTTGACGTATAACTTATTACTCTAAGTAAGGACTAAAGCGTGAAGAATAAAGGTGACGTCTGAAGGTAAAGATTAAAGCGTAACTTCTAAAGGTGAAGATTAAAGTGTAACTTCTAGAGGTGATGAATAAAGGCCTGAAACAAATGGACGTTATGAGACAGGGCGTGGAGCAATATAGGTAGGTATGTCCGATATTCGGAATTTAACCGTATAATTAACAGAAAACTATGCTTTTACATAGGAAATAGAGAAACACAGAGAAGATTAATAAGAAAAACCACTTACCAAAATTACTTTGGCCTTCAGGAACAAACAATTGGTCACGTTGCTCTTTTTCGACTCACAAAAAAAATCCGCACAAGGCGATTGGGTGCTAAAATAACGGATTAGCCACCCTAGATCTATGAGCGAAAACAAGACAACTCAGAAAATCGGCAAAATGTGCCTGAGGAATTTTCCCGAACACTTAATCGTGGAAAGTCCTCGACCTGAATGATCTCTGCTTGTCCCTGCAATGTCCTTTAAAAAGTCTCTGTCAAAACTCCAAGGTCGAAGGTACTGGGGATTTTGATGGTAGTTGGGGCATGGTACTTATTCAAATTAAGTTAGTACCGGTCACTGACTCTATTTGGAGCGCTGTCAATCTAGTCAATCTACTCAGATCAGACAATCAGCTGTTCCAATGTAAATATTGTAATTTTATTTATTAATAAATTAACTGACTATTTATTTTAACCCTACCAAAAGGAAATCAATTCCATTATTAAACCTCTAACTTAATAATTCTGGGAAGAATGAAAAGTTTAATGAAAAGTGTGACCACAATTATCGGATAGAAAACAGTGGCTTGAGGAAGGTATGCTATTCAGAGAGGCGAATAAGCTTATTTCCTTTTATTTTGGCCCGGGAAAAATAATCCCGTAACAACTTGTTTTAGTTTTTCGAGAAAACTACTTTAAGAAAGTGATTTTTGGGTATCTCTTTACTACATATGTATTTCTCTTTCGTTATTACACTTACCTTACGTAAAATTCAATTTTCTTGCAAACGCAAACGGTGCCAAAAAACATAATACGTGATGTTCGAAAAAATGGAATTTTTGACCATCATTTATTCCGATTTTTGTAGATCGCCTGCACCGATATGGTATGAAATGGGCGCACTTCTGCTACATTAGGAGTAAGCCTGAACTTTCACCTAATTATCATCTAAATTTAGTTTATTACTTTGCAACGGTTTTCGAGAAACCTTGTTTTTCCTAAACAATTGCAGCGGCAATTTGAAACAAATAAGGACATTTATGTCAAAAACTATAAGAGACAGGCTGATAAAACTTGGGAGGTCCAAACTCAAAATTGCAAGGCCAACCAAACTATGTTGGAAAAGATGCGAGTTTCTATTTGAAATAAGAAAGTTATTGCATGTACATTTGGTACACCCTGTATAGTTGAAAATCTGAAAATATTTTAGGTGACACCGGAACGATTGATTATGGCTAGAAACCAAATTTTCAAAGTTTCTAATTCCCCTGCAACCTCAAAAACTTCTAATTCACGGGCTACGTTAATCACCCTGTATCGGGAAAATGAACGTACCTACACGTTAAATAAACAACGTAAACACACATATAGTGGAAGCGTTTATAGTTTTTTGGTGGCACATAAAATAAAGGGCTATAATATACCTTGTAGCACTTTTTATCTTTTGGTACACAGCGAACGGCTGCTTTTCATCTGGAGAGCAGATGGGTCGGAGTTCAAAATCAAAGTTTAATTTTTAATGAAGTTTTTAATTATTTACTCAAATATTTAAAATTCAATATACACCTAAGTGTATATTACTAAAAGGGCGCCACGCAATTTTTATTTGATTTGGTTTAAATTGCGAAACCAAACTTAGAGAACATCTGCAAAATTATTAATTGGTGAGAGTGGAACAATAATAATTAAAACAACACTTCAATCTTCGATTGAATAAAATTCTATTTGTCAATAATTATCGATGGTTATTCAAGTCACATTGTAATCACAAAATATATATAGCCAATTTAAAATAGGAGTACCTATGAAATAAATATGTTAAATAACCAGTACCTATTTAATGGTAGACACTTAAAGTAGAGTATCAATGTAATTAATAAGTTTCTTTTCAAGAAAAAAAAAATATATATATATGTAAGTTAATGAATCTTAAAATTTATGGAAACTTGTTTAACCTGGATATTAGGTTGTCTAATTGACACATTTAATTATCTCATACCTAGGACCTAGAACCCCATAGTCGACTATAGTTCACAATATTGCTGAATGGTATTCTTTTTTTGAATTATGGTTGGTGTAGTGATTTTGTGATTCACGTTAACGTTGAGGGCACAAAGCCCCTTTAAAGAGGGATGAAAATCACCCTGATTGATAGAATCTTAAACAATAATTTTATATAACCCTTATGGGTTAAAAGGGAAAATATGTGAATTATAATATGGTTATTTAAAGAGAGAAAATAAATAAATAGTAATAAAAATAATAATCTGAATGTTCTGAAAAATCTGAATATGATAGCAATTAATTTGCTAATGAAGTTAAATAATAATGATAAAATATTCTGAAAAATCAGAATATGAGAGCAATCAATTTACTAACAAAGTGTGACAATATTAATAATAAAAAATTCCGGATATGACAGCAATTAGATTGCTAATAAAGTGGTTTTAATAATAATGATAAAATATTCTGGCCTGTTTATCCTTGAAGCGGTCACAATCTCAATTCTACGACGAATAATTCAACCAATAGAGTACGTCGTGTCTCGTGACTCTTAAAGTCAGCGAGTCTTGAAGTACGGAATTTCTTAGGGCAGGAATTACAGGGCGATGATGGTATGGGGTGCAAACTACCAAACATACAGGTATATGGTATAATCAACCAATAACCAACGGTCCAATTCTTGGAGTCGACTCCCACGCGGATCCTACTGGGTAAAAAACACACATGTCACAAATGGGGCGGAAAAGTGGGATAAAAGGGTTGTGGAAATATATTCCAGATAAAGAAATTAATGCTTGAGCAGCTTACCTTGATTGGATTCCACAAAACATAACACAAAAAGCGATTCTGGCACGCCAAAGATTCTGGATTAATAACCCAGGAAGTTAAACAGAAAACCTTCTTTTCTTTGGCTCTAGTACTCGATGGCCTCTTGATCCATTGATAGAAAACTTCAACAAAACTCTTCAAAAGGTATTTGGGCAGATGATACCCGATTTCTTTTTGGACCAAGAAAAAGGCGTGTTGAGTCACAAAGAAGCAGTACCAGAATGGCGGTCCCCAGAACCCGTAAAATTGATTCCACCAGATTCGATGACAGCGGAAATTCAAGAAAGAAGAAAGCGCGGTTAATTTGAATGTGTACGAAAATTCAAGGAATTGTGCAAAATAAATTTGGCAACGTTGCAAAATTCAAATTAGGAACTGACCATAGCCCGCGGCAGATACTGGTTGGCATTTAACAGCTGGGAATTTCAGCAGCAAAATGTAAAATAACAACAATGGACAAAAGGACTTCTAAACCCAAAGTCCCAGTCTCTAGGAACCAATCAGTGGTTGTTATGCAAGATTAACCCTTGTGAATTCATCCCCTTGCTAGCTAAGCTAACATACCAGGTAAGTATTGTTTATTTGCTACCATTACATGAAAGTTAAAATAATTGATAATTCCCATTTGTTTTAGGCTAAAGCAAGTTAACGCCCTCAACCCCTAACCATGGGCTAGTGGAGAAGATGCGTTCTTCATCCTTTAATTGAGATAAACAGATGATGATGACCAAAACAGGGTTATGTGTTTTAAAGTAATGAAAGCGAAAGTGGAATTTGAATAGGTTAAGTTTGTAAATAAAAAATATGATGTATTATGTTGTATGATTGAAATTAAATAAAAATATTCAACCGATGGGAAATCCCATCCTTAATTATTGTTTCAAGTAAAAATATTATATAACTAGATAGGTAAATATCCTCTTTGATATAAACCTTTCACAAAAAAAATGAAGGGTAGCATTTAAAGAAAACTCAAATGCTACAACCTTTAGTTCAATTCAATTTCAATTCTTGATATCGTGGACTGGCAACTACTTTTAGAAACACAATTAGTTCTTCTCCTTCTTACTGATTTTATAGTGCCGTAAAAAAATTAGATTTTTTTTTTGTTTCATCCCGAAAAAGAAGGCAAGAAGTTATTTAAAATATTTGTTTTTCTCCAAACGTCAAAAAAACGACACTTTGTCAACACCTGTCAAGATGTCAGAAATTTAATTTCTATGCTGCTAGGCAGCAAAAGTACTTTTAGTGCCGCTCGTACTTTTACTGCCTCGCAACCATTTAGTTACCTTCGAGCTTACTCCATTGGTTTGGAGTATTGCAAAACTACTGCTTCAGCACAAAAAAGTAAAGCTTCTACTCCTAATACAACAATATACTATTATTTATATTTTGGGTTAGGATGAAGATTCAGACTTGCGATTTTCACCTTTCGCCTTATTTTTTCATGCTCTTTTCATTTAAATTTAAAAAAAGCATCATTATATTTGAAATTTCCGAGAAAAAATGGAAAATTTTCAACTTTAAGACACAGCACTCCCTAGCGGCAACAAAATAATTTAATTTCATTATTTTAGTTATGCATTTTATTAAAGAGAAAAAACTCTTCCAAATGACACCCGAATCATTGAAATCGGTTGAAAAACAAAAAAGTTATGTTACTTTTGTTCCTAACAAGTTTGAACCTTCCCCCACCTCCACAAAATTTTTCCGTTATCTCATCAAGATTTCAATAATCATATTTTTAGAATACCTTTAGTGGGCGTTTCTTGAAGATAATCACAATAATATGTTTTCGAGTGTTCGTTGCGCCCCCTAGCAGTCAACTTACAAACTTGAAAACTATTTCCAGCAATTTTTCATGGCCATTTTTATCAATAAAAAATTTTACTTGGACGCTCTAGGACTATTAGTCCCTGAGATATAGCCGGTTACCTCCTTAGGTGAGACACCCGGTATATGAAATATGTTCCAAATTTTCCGCAGAATCCTCAAATGTTATAATATACGGGGGCTATATCATTTAAAGAAATATAGTTGATAACAGTACAGCTGTTCTTGGAACATCCTGTATAAAAAAATTGGCGTGAAAACATCTTGAGCAGGAAAACAAAATCGACGTGTCCGAGCGTTTTTTTCGAAAAGGCCCCGCTACTGCCATACCATCTACGATTATGAAAGATGTTGTGACGCGCTTTACCGGAGTTCCATATTAGCCATTGGTAAGGATTGCCTTTTCTACTAAATCCTCATATCTTGCCATAATCATTGACTCATCACTTCCCAGTAGTGAATGAAAGTGATCTATTTGGTGCAAATAAACATCGAGGCACACTCCCAAATTCAAAATTTCCTATACATTTTTCTTAAGCCGATGTCTCATCTAAAATTCGCTTGTTCCGCTTCATTTGTCCAGCAGTTTAGATCGTAAAACTAAAAGTAATCGGTGCAGAAGATCTCGTTCTTCACTCTTTTTAAAAGTTCTATCATTATGGCTTATTGTAGTTTTTACATTTGTATTTTTAAGTCTCGAAACTTAGATTCCCCAATTATGAAAACTTTGTCGAACGATAGGCTCTTGGAAAGGGCAGTCATCACTATATCAGCATCGGCGTCTTCTTCAGATTAATGTACCATACCATGCTTCTCAAATTCCGTACTCATCATGATGATCAGTCGGCGTTTGTTGGATTCGTTTGTGAGCAGTGTTTCTTGGCGCACTTTGATGGGTATTGATTCATCAAATAAAATGTCACTGCCATAGAGAGAAACAGAGCGCCGTAGGCGTTCGGCTGATTTAGTGCTCCTCATAGCCGCATCTTGTGGGTATTTATCAAAAACCACAGCTACCAAATGCTTGATAACGTACCTAGCTGACATATCCTGCCACAATGGCTCTAACTGAATCACTTCGATGTCAGATCACCTTGTGCAGCAAGTAACCACCATTGACCACTGTGAATGCTTTGCTACCAGGAGTTATATTTTCAGTGAGCGTTGTGAGTGCTATATAGAAGAAAGATTTTGTGCCCTTACGCATTCTTTCTTCAGTAAACAATGACAACGGATAAGGTGCTAGTTCATACGCAAAATGCTGCTTCAGTTGTTCATCTGTATATTTTGTGACGCAGATCCTCTGGAATGTGGTAAGGGGATCAACATCAACTCTCTTGTTGAATACCTTCACAGAGGTGGTACCAAGGTTTTTACTTTTTCCTTTCGTTTGAAAGTCACTTTACCAAATGTTTTGCCAACACTTAACTCCTTCAGCTTCGAGTTCTTGACTCAAGTTAATATCAGGGCCTTTAACGATTCCACTTTGGATGGAAAATAGGTGGTGACTGGAAACAGAGGGTGGGGGCTGAAGAAGATCTTCATTTTCTGGCGTCTGCAGTATCCCTTACAATTTGGGATGCTCTCACATAAACGTGTTATCCGGATGTAAGGGTCTTAGTGCCAGTGAAACGCTCCACCTGCTCGCAAATTTTTAACATGGAAACCATTTCTACTGACCAGCGGGCAAACACACTACTCGATGTTCCCCGACCACAGGTGCGTCAGCGCCCCCTGGCTTTTCATGGACCTCATCAATACTTGTTCTTTTGTTAATTCTGTCCACAAACCAGACCAGAACTTATCGGGGCGACGTATTATTAAGGCCCCCCCTGTGAACATGCGATACTCGTCTGTCTTCATATGCTTATGTCTTGAAGGTAGAGTCGGGCACTTTTAGCAGAGAAGAAATGTCCTGCTGCATGAAAGAGTGGGAGCATCTTGCTGACACACTCGAGGTGAAACTGCCAGTCACCCATTTGCTCCGCCTGGATAAATGGCTTTGTCAGAGCTGTCATTCGATAATATTGGCACCAGAGCTCGGATGTGGGACCATTGTATTCAATTTTTTCCAATGCAGTTTTGTACTTGGCACTCACTTGTTGAAAAACCTCGCTAGTAAGAAGCAATTCACCACGTGTACCGCTGGTGAAGTCTATCTCAGTCACTATCATTTCAGCTAATACTAGATTGGTCAGTATGTGTGCCCTCACGGCCCTCGAATATGCATGGCCATGAAGCATTTTATCGACGCTGTTTGCAGCGTAAATTGTTGAAAACAAATCCTTCAGAACACTACCAGCCATGACTCCACCAATACACCCAAGAAAGGGCATAAGGAGGTGGAACCCACCAAGTCTCACCACTACATTCTGCAATTCAGGGTGCTGGCCACTAGCAACAATATCTCGAGCTTTCCAGAAGAGTGGTTGATGAAACGTTACGAAGCAATTGTGTGAGAATGAACTGCTGTTCTCTTGCTGGCCTCTATAAGCTCTATCAAAATAGTGTCGTAATCTGTTGGTGAAGCTTGAATGAACGGTAGATACACAACTTTTGTGATTTCGAAATCCATATAAAATGTCTGCAGCTGCATAAAACCGTTCCAACCAGGTACATTTGGAGAGTTTAAACATTTCCCATACAACCACAAGAGATCTGCCGCTGAGGACAGTACATCACTGGCCTGACTGGCCACCTGCACAGCACCTTATAAATCAGTAATTATTGGTATTGCAGATAGGCCAGAATTTGTTCGCACTATGCAGGGTCTCAGTGGAATAGTTCCAAAAGAACTGACCGTGTCAGCACGCACATAATTCTTCAGACGAGGAATTGCTTCATTCGGTAGTACAGCAGAGAGTGGAGTAATGCATACGATTCTCCCCATTTTATGGAACGTATTTTCTCCTTTTAAGGTGTTGACATTAAGCTTTAGTTGCTCGCGCTCTAGAATCTCCTGTAGGTACCCGCACGGTGTATTATGTACACCACATTTATGAATTTGTGATTGAATACATTAATCAATGTATAGGGATAAGAAAACATTTTGCCTTGATTTGTCATGCTAGGAGTAGGTTTTTAGGAATTATCAATAAACCAATTGTAAACACATCGGTCGTAGGTTACATCAAGGGGTATGAGTGGGGAGATACCGGATCGGGTTTTTACCGTCCTTTTAGTAAAAATGGTGTATTTTATACACCGGCGCGGATAGTTAAAGGCGTCTGCGTTGTCGAAAACTATCTGCATAAACGCGCCTGTTTCAATTTCTGGTTGCGCAGTTGTTGAACTTTCAAGACGCATTGCCTCACTGTAGCTGCATGAAAAACCCAGAGCTGCACAGAGGTTCACCAAGTGTTTCGAGCCAAATTTTCGGTAAAGATATGTGCCAGCGCTTGTCATGATTGAAGAAATTAAAGATTTTAACCTAACTGCCGACATAAGTGCATGACACAAACTCAGGCATTTTTTTCTCCACCCTCCCAGGTTGGAGCCTTTGTGTTTTAGTATTATGGTTTCAAAAAAACCTTTGTACCGATTCAGGAATTGGTGATTCCATATTTTGCAAGAAAGAGTCAGATGGAGGGTACTGAGAGTTATCAAAAACTCCCGCCCGAATATCTTCCAAACAGTTTAGTGCCGCAGTTGGCTTTTTTTTCCTCGTACCAGTTTTGGTATAGAGTCGCTTGTTCGATGCATTAAAGTAACGATTTAAAAAGAATGCCTTTTTATTTTATTTTTTTATTTTTTATGTTGCATCACTATACATATACAATGTTTCCAAGGCCAGTATGGGGATCTGATCCGGGAAACGGTATCCCCATACGGGCCCTCCTTATCTTGGACACATTGTATATTTCTTTCTGAATGTATCATTTACGGAAACTTCCAGCAGGCTTAAGCGACATACAAAACAATCGCTAGGTGAAACCGACATCTCGTACGAAGTTTATTCGCGATCACACTCATAAACTTTTAGCTTTTATTTTACTGAGGTTCGCATAAACTATTTCAACAGAACAACCACATACCACAGAACAACTGCAGAGTAGCAGTAGCAGGAGCACTAGAGCAGGTACAAAGCAAAACGAACAGCGAAGCGAACTATAGAATAGTGTACAGTTACTTTAAAACCACAGTGGCTAGGTTTTTATTTTGTCGGACGTCATGTGATCACTTATCTTTTTTCACGTGACAAATTACGTGACATCTGTCAAATTTTGCTCGCAGATGCAATTACCGAATCCAGCCATAATTGGCCGTCTTATTTCTGATTGGTTCTTTAAAATTCTATATATTCATAATGAAGCGCCGCCATTTTGTGCCTCACCTCTTGCTAATTTTAAATATGAATATATAGAATTTAAATGGACATGCATCATAAAAAATTGAGAACAATGTATTTGATGTACCTTCCTAATAATAGTCCGTTGTTTTCAAGTTTTTATTATTTTTTGAGATGTCCATTCAAATCCTTTTTGAGCACCACGGGAGTAGCACAGCGTTTTCAGGGTTGCAAACTTGGGTATAAACTATTCTCAGGGATTTTAACAATACATAAAAAAATAGTAGATACATGCGTGTTTGCTAAGTTTACCTTTTTTTGTGTCGATATTGACTGGCCTATAGGTGAAATAACTTTTTTGAAACAAAGTTACTCTTGCCAGTTTTTTTTTTTCAAATATCAAGTTTTTTAATATCTCGGTTAATACCTACCAAAAAGAACGAAGGGATCTGGGAATCCAATGGGAATAGTCAAGAAAAATTAAATTCCGCTTTTTTTAACTATGACTTTATTTATTTTGTTCCTAGTTTAAGTATGTACAAATATGTATACACATGTTTATGAAATGTTGCGTTGTACTTTTACAAAAATATTATTACATATTAAACCATAAATTAAGTGAATATATCAGTGAAATTCTAGAAATCCATGACATTTTTAGAACTTGTGGAGAATCTTCAAATTCGCACTTATTCGCAAGTTATTATGAAAATTTCATTATTTCATCATACAGTGCATAGGTTATAATTGATATGGTTGAATGGAAAATAAGTTAAAATATACAGAATGTGAGTATAGCAGAAGTCTGTTGACATTTTTAGCTATTTTATAGTTAGTTCCGCGCACACCAAATTTTATAGAAATGAAAATAAAAACAAATATGCAATGAGAAAACTATGTACAAAGATAAAAAAAAACAGTAGAAACGTAGTAACATTTTTATCTACAAGATTTTCCTTTTGATAAAATTTAATTAAAACATTTATATAGTAGGATTTCTTACAATGATTTCTTTTTAGTTATTATCTAAATTTCCTAAAAATTGTGCAATTAATATTCAGTAAATGATTTTGTTTAGTTTTAGGTACAACAATAAATAGATAAAATAATAAATAACAATATTTAAAAAAATATATACAATATAAGAAAAAACCATTATACAACTAACAATATGTACAATATGGACGTTACACTTATATTTTCTTCAATTTTGATGTGTCCTTTTAACATTTTTGTGTCCATTATAGCACCACACACTATTTTGAGATGTTGAATTTGATTACAAAAGAAACTGAAAATTTAACAAAAAATAAATATATTGTGCTAGACTTTTTATATAAATTAGAATAATTATTAATTTTTTTATTGTATTCAAACTCTTTTTGGTTTTAGTCATATTAAACGTATTAGGGCATTATGTATAACATTTATATTTTTTTTTTTCAAAATTGTCGGTCGCGTATTTAAACTTTCTTTTCAAAATTTGATTATATTTTGATTATATATTTTTGACTCAAATAAATAATAAAACTGACAAACATAAAGTTGTAGTTAAGCTCCTCAAAACAAACGACGAAGAAAATTAATTTTGGAGCACGTTTAACTATTATTACCCTGTACTAAGAAATCATTACAAATATACTAACGGCCAACAAAAAAAAAAATAGACATAATATCTTACAAAAAATTTACACTTTCTTGTCCACTTTATCACGCCATAGACAAATCACACTCACCAGTTTTGTTCTTCAATTTTCACTGAATTGATAAACTCACGATTTTGATTGGTCAATAGCTTACAGAAATCATCTGCTGATGAAGACTAGAAGTATGGTCATACAAAAAGGGACCAGGGGGATGCAGTGTTGGCCACTGCTCGTTTGCATTGCTGCAGGATGTTCGCCTAGAAAAATAGAACAGATCATTAAATTTTTGTATGTATTGTATTTCTCAAAAAACTACTCGAATGGCACTGGTCTGCTAAAAAAGGCAAACTGTTAATTGGAGGATGCTGAAGGATTCAACGTCTAAGATCCCATTAAAATGAAAATTGTGACTCAAGAAACAAACATCACCAATACAAATGCTTGCATTTATTGCTTCGTTCGTTTATTTACTGGTTTAAAAACGATTTCTGGCAATCTCCATTCCACTAGGTTGAATCTACTTCTATTGTTGAACATTTCGTGATTTAGTATCGACAATTGTAACCACCGCCACCTGGTTGCGACGGTTGGGTAAGGGAGACTTTGTTTTAACACCTTTTTTGTACTGCGGTAGCGTGCCACCAGGGACTTTGTTTAAAAATCTAGGTAACTTTGAACGGATACTTTTCAGTAATCTGATTAGATTGCCTCTTCTAGTGCGGGTTCTTGCTACCTGAGCTGTACGCAGTTAGTTAGAATGCTAGCTCGGGGTTTTCCAAAGGAAATAAAAGAATCAGTTTTTCTTACTAAACTCTAACAATGGTTTATTGAACAAATGGTAAATCTTGGTAAGGAAATGAAAGAAAAGCAAAGAATATACAGTATGTTAGTAACAATGTTTACTGAAATGAAATGAAAGAAAATACATACGGAGATTTGGAATGATAGAGAGTGAAATCAATGTGCGTCCTGTATAGGGCGTTCCTTGATGGCACAAGTTACATGAGAAATTAAAGATTAACCCTCGCCGCCCCAAAATAATTTTAAAACTTGGGATCCCAGAACAGGGTCAAAATAGACCTAGATACAAACCTTTTTTTCGAGGGATTTTGATTATAAAATTTTGGGAATCATAATAAAACATGTTATTGTATTATGCTTTAATTTCATTATGCAAAAAAAACAACAAAATAAACTTTCTATTCATAAGATAAGTAGATAGTAAACTGAAGGACAAAAGCTAGAAATTCCGAAAACACGTAAAAAATGCTTGCTACGATTTGTCGAGTTGGAGGGTTTCAGGGTATACCGATTTATCCCAAAACCGGGTCATTGGTGACCCATAGAAAGTTTTCTGGGGAAAAATTTTTTTTTCGAAAAAATCATACAAAAGCCAATATTCTTGACATAAAGTAGGAGAATTCACAGAATATCTCTGAAAAAAAGTCGCGGGCCGCAAGATATTCCTGGAAAATTAGATTTTGGGTCATCGCTGGCCCGCTGTCGGTAAGGCGTGGGTTAAAAGATACAGAAAATAAAGACTAGGTTATAATTCTTAGTGGATAAAAGTCACAGGCGTCCTCGACAAGGGAATGACAAAACGGCCTTGTTATTCAGGATAAGATACATGTTGGAAAAGAGATTTGAGTTGTGAAGCTAACCCAACGGTTTTGTTCTTTATAGGGGAGAAAATAAATAATAGACAGAAAAAAACAATCTTGACGAATAAATTTAAATACTTGAAATTGAAACATTACCTAAGGTCTCGGAAAGAGAGTCAGCAGAAAGACGTCAACACTAAACACCAGAACTGCGTTACAGAACTGAATAAATCTAGGAGACTCACAATCATATTTATATTGACAGCTTGATGACGCTTTTGGGATTCTTATCGGTCGCAAAACATGCGGTTTGTTCATGGAACCAGGAGTCGAGAGTCGTATTTTAAGACACAATCATGACACTGTTTCGGGATCCGACTGATAACCCTTGGCTCTTGACACGGTTTCGTCAGAAGTTTAGCGACTTAATCTCGCTAGGTAAAAAAACCAATTAATTGTATTACGAAGCGAAAAAAAAAAGGAATTTTAGGCCGTTTTGTTACACAATATTATCATCAAATTTGGGAATCCTTGCCAATCAATCTTTTTCCCACCTGTACTGAAAATTAAATCACATCCAAAATTAACTCCAACCTTTCAATTTTCCAATTATTTCCTCATTTAGTTTTGGTCCTTTGCCCTCATGTCTACCCTTGAAATAACTTTCTGCTCAACTTAACATCTAATATTAAAACTGCAATCTCCTCGGAGTTAATCCAATAGAAAACACCTTTCGTACATCTTCCACCCACTCCCTTACTAGAATCCCTGGGCCCTGGGACAAGCCCCTTCGCGCCAAAAACTCATTACGAAACCTTAATACGTTTTATGTACGGAGCTCGATCAAAACTTTCTTGGTAGGTTCAGGGTAAGTTCCTATATTCTTTTTATAAACTTTCGTCCTATTTTCAGGTGTTAACCTGCTGCCTTTAACAGGTGAGAATGTTGTTTTTAATGGATACTAGTGATATTCTCAGGAAAAAATGGCGAAATGTCTTATCAAGAAATAAAAACACTCAGAGACACGTATACGTTTTCATTAGTTATGCAAAATATACAGCCCACCATATATTTTTCTAAATTAGGAAAGGCGATATGGAAATGCGTGCTCTGGGGCTAAGGGGCGAAAAATTTCATTCATCATCATTTAGGTTTCTTATATCCCTAGTGTTTCTGTGCCATTAAATTTTTTTCCCTTCGGGCAAATTGCCTTTGTTGAGTTTTGAAGCCAAAACAGTTTACTTACACTTTAATATAGTTTTCAGAGAAGGATTTAAATTAAACAGAAACCTTTTACCTGAAAGTCAACCTGCAACGTTCTCTATATGCAAACTCTATTCGGCAGTTTCAAGTTTCCTTGTGTTTTGCACTTATCACACGAATATTATATCATATTAATCTGGAAAGTTTGTGTCTAAACATACTCAGAAAGGTAAAGATAAATTGTATAAGCTCTGAAATTTAATGTACCCTTTAGACTTTGGGAATATCAACGTCGAATTAGGACTTTGCGCTGGCTGGCTTAAGTAATCTTTATTTGTACCGCAACCGCAACTTTTATGCAAAGTTACTTTCCAAAACACAAATCATACACGGTTATTTTTGCAGTACAATCCATTTTATATTATGTGCATAAAACGATCCCAGTGAAGCTGTAAAATAATTTCATGATGTATTATGTCTAGACCAACGCCAATGTGATCATAAAATATATATTATAGGTATATTGCCAGAGGTTGAATACCTTGCACTAGAACAAATAATTCGTTTTTACTTAATCCGCCATGAAAATAGTTTCCCAGAGGCACGTTTATTCAAGAAATGGAATTCATAATATGGGTGGAAGCCGCGAAGAAAAAAAAACCTAAGCCCAAAACAAACATCCAGGGAAAATGTTGGGCGATAAGCCTGAAAGAAAGATGGCAAAAATAACATCAGTTTGCCTGAGAAAACAAGCCTGATAATCTAAAATTATTTTTTTCTTGTCTTACCGTTGAGGACGTGGACAACAGCCGACGCAGGGCTGGCATTGGACGGCATGCAAGTGTAGTTGCCAGTATCGGAAAGTAGCGCTTTGGTCACTAGAAGTTTACTAGTTGTACCTGCTTCGGTTTTTTCGGTTTCTAGACTGATTCCGCCTCTGGGCGAATCGAAGTCTACGACTGCATGACCATGATACCTAGAAAAGAAAGTTCAATAAGTAATTTTCTGTAATTTGATTTTAAAATAATATTTGCAAGAGAAGATAGTTTAATCGTTTTTGTTTCCATTTTGACTGTTATAAAATACGTGAGACTTTTCTACTTCATTCTCCTGCAGATCGTCAATTACAAGTTAATCGTTCAAAACGGTTTCATGGGTTACCATCCCTTTCATCAGAATTTTCAAGATCAGGTAGGCTGTATGACTTCAATGGATCAACCGCAGCAACTCCACGAATAAATTTTTGAAGCTGTTTGTATTTACGGTTGATTCTATATCGATCACTTGGTAATCATTATACCTACTATAATGTCAAGTCCCTGGTATTAGTGCAAGAATTTGCAAGAATATATCTTTAACATCACAATATCTACTGGTTGAAATATCTCCGTCTTTTCTTCTGTTGATCTCTCAAGATATTTTATCTATTATTTCACGTGTAGCGCTACTTTGGTTTTCCGGACGGTTGAGGGGTTTTCGGAGGAGATCGGTCAGACTTACGGGCATTGCCAAAACAAACAACCTCTCGGTGGAAACGAAGACTGAGGACCTAATCACCTCGGTCATATGCTGACATCGTTGACATGCGCAAAACGCTCAAACCGGTCCCTATTCAGGCGCCAAATTTGTAGCGCTACTTTGGTTTTCCGATTAAGGGGTTTTCGAAAAACTTGGGCGCCACTCTTAGGATTATAGTGGTTAAGGGCCCACGTGCTGTTGCTTGTCTAATCAACCGGCATTCTACCAATTTTGTGAAATGGTCCTAGAAAATAACTAACTAGTTATTTTCCTTTGAGGATCGGGGTAATGGTCCTATCAGATCGGTGGTAACAGTTTCCCAAGGTTGCGAATTTCAGGAGGGTTGCATTTTGCCTGGAATTTTCTGCTGGAATGGCTTACAGCATTGGTATCAGAGGCAGGCTTTGAAATATTCCTCATCATACCCGCCAATAATACTCTCTACAAATTCTTGCAGTTGTTTTAGAAATACTTCGTTATCCCGCCATAGGAGAGTCATGATTTTCCTCCAGTACACATATTCCGGCACTTTTGGGTAAATGTTGCTCCTTTGAGGGCTCGATCAGATCTCTTGGAACGGTTTACTGGATGTTGCTTCCTTGAGGGTTCGGTCGGATCAGTTTTTTGAATCGCGTGATGATCTTATGATGATGAATCTTAATTAATATTCTTCCAAGGCAGTGGGGAGGCATTTACCGCCAAAAGTTGGTGCGCGAAACGGTCAAAGCGGTCCCTGCTCGGGCGCCAAACTTTGGTTTTTCGGACGGTTAAGGGCTTTTCGGTAAACTCGGGCGCCACACTCAGGATTATAGTGGTTAAGGGCCCACGTGCTGTTGTTTTCTAATCGGCCGGCATTTTACCAATTTTGTGAAATGGCCCTGAAAAATAACTTACCAGTTATTTCCCTTTGAGGATCGGGGTAATGGTCCTATCAGATCGGTGGTAACGGTTTCCCACGGTTTCGCAGGCAGTGGCGAGGTATTTACCACCAAAAGTTGGTTGGAAGATGAGGGCTAGTGCGCACACTCCTCTCTCACGGTTTACTATTCGGTAAATACGGCAAATCTTCAGAAATATTACGAAATGTGGCAACCTGGCAACCGGTACAAGATAATACTATTCTAATAGTAGAATGAGATTCGGCACCCTTGATTTAGTCGGAAAGATGGTGTGACAGAATTCACGTTAGACCTACGGGCGTCGCCAAAACAAACGGCCTCTCGGTGAAAATGGAGACTAAGGACGTAATCACCTCGGTCATATGCTGACATCGTTGACATGCGCAAAACGGTCAAAGCGGTCCCTGCTCGGGCGCCAAACTTTGGTTTTTCGGACGGTTAAAGCGTTTTCGGAAAACTCGGGCGCCATCCTTAGGATTATAGTGGTTAAGGGCCCACGTGCTCCAGGTAGCTTTTAACAGTGGAGACCGAAAACCAGAGGTCAATATGCGCATCTCCAAAATAAAACGCAAAAATGTAACCAACAAATTAAGTTTATTAGGTTGAAAATAATAGATACAAAACGTAATGAAAATAATAAAAAAAAGGTAATATTCAATGAACTGACGGAAAGACGAAAAGAAAGAGAGAGAGAGCGAGGTGTGTAAACGATTACTAGCGTGCCTTTCAGGTTAGGCGGTGGTAAATGCGAAAGCTTATACGGGACGGTAGCGGTACGCAGGGGTAAAAAAAACTGTGCAGGTCCACTCTCGGCCTTTTAGGCGATCTGTGCGGGGTGAATGACGTATCTTAGTATAGAGAGGCATAAGGACAGAGAGAGCGACCCTCTAAACGGAGACTCCCTCAGTCCGTCACAGAAAGAATAGGGCCACCCTGTAAACGGTCCAGCACGTAACCCCATTGAATCCGTCTATCCCCCTGTATAGCAAGAGCATCATGCACGAAAGAAACGATGTGTGTGAAGTGAAGAATAATGAATATACATTGATATAAGGACAATAAGTGCCACCCTGTGAGCGTTCCTGCAAGTAGTCCTCATTTTCCGTCACAGAAAGAATAGTGCCACCCTGTAAACGGCCAGCACGTAACCCCATTCATTACGTGTATATTACGGCTTACCTCGGTGGTCGGTTGTCTAGGTGCTGGTGGTCTGGGCTGCTGGTACCTGTGAACAGAAGAAGAAGAGTGTCCCAATTGTGGCCGCGCGCCTCCTCTTATTACCGGTCGTCGTGCGTCAAAGGTGGGAACGGCGGTGGAAAAGTCCGAGAGATTCTATTGGATCGTACGTTTTCAAGCAAGGTCACGCGCAAAATATTATTTAATAATTAGGTATCATGTAGAATTGATCTGGCCGAAGTAAATAAATAAGAACCGCGGTAGCCATTATTAAAATACCTGAAAAATTACGTAGCTTCGTTACACATGTTGTTCTTTCATTCCTCATTTCTCTTCAATGCCATCCTTACTCAAAATTATACGGAATCGTTAAATTCACACGCTACTCTCACGTCTATTTGGTTGGAACAATCCAGAATATCTACTGTTTAATTTTGAGCTAGATATCTAAGGTCATCAGAAGATTGGGTTACGATTTTCCATTATGATTTTTCTTGGTACGATCCATTATAGTTTTCCATCTTCTATTCTGTGCATGCCTAATGTTACATTGCAAATGTCACTTGCTTTTTCTATACATAAATAATGTACACATTTTATAATTTTAAATAATTATTCTAAGGTCACAAGTGAAATCTTTTTATTCTGGAAGAGAAAATTGAAGAGCCCCTTTTCTTTTCTAATCTTGCTGTTGCCCCAAAAAGGTCGAGTGTGTCTGGGCTGGGGGCAGCTATTATTTAATTTTTTTTGAGCTTGACGAATCTGATTCAAAGTTAACCTCTTTTATTTGATTTGATTTTTTAACCTGGGTCAGGGTTTGGTTGAGTTATGTGCCTTATTTATTTCCTTTTCAGAATTACCAATTACTGTTTGCTGATTGTTTTTTCTTTTGGGTGTGTTTCTGAATTTTCACATCTCAGATTTTATGCAATTTTATTATTATTATTATTATTTTTAAAATTCAGTGTCGCCCTTGCCATACTGTACTTATTGAACTGTCAACCCACCCCTAATAATTGTTCGCTGAGCAAACCGAGCATATTATGGGCTTCTTGTTAATTTATTAACAAAAGGGGTTACAGGTTCTGGAATCTTAGTTCGGGCGAGAGCGGACACTCACAGAAGGGGAACAGCATATAGACAAGAGGCTCGTCATAAGTCAAGGAAAATTGGGCCAGCATACCAAGGATGGTGTAAATACTTCATTCCAGTCTTGGATGAATAACTGGACAGGAAATGGGGAGTAATAAACTATAACACGATTCAGGCAATGACAAATCAAAAGCGATAAGTGCTATGGTACTGTGACAGGGAAGACACCCCAGAACACACATTGTTCTTTTGTGCAAAGTTCGGAGGCATAAGGAGAAAAGCTGAGAGTGTTTGCAAAGCGAAACATCAGAAAGGAAAACGTCGGTAAGCTGTTGTTGCGGAGAGAGGAAGACTGGAGCGCTCTAGTAGAAATAATGGAAAGGGTTATCAGGACAAAGGAGACTAATGGGAGAGATAAGGGAAAGTCTGAAACAGAAAGATGCTTCACACAGATTTGAAAAGGAACCGGAGGAAACGTGATTCTTGTGCCGCTGCTCCCTGTTCCAAGAATAAGGACCCTGATTGTATGATCGGAGTCGGATCGGAAGAATGCATGATAGATGTGTCCCGGGCTTAAGGATGAAGATGAAGAATACTGTTGAAATTTCTTCCCAGTGTTCGAGACCTTATTTTTCATTCACATACCTTGTACTACAGGTAAATCAGTATTATTATAGTGAATTTGAATCTATAATAAATTATGCAGATTCCAGTGTACTTACCATAATACAGATGATGGTGGTGTAGAATGAACATTTACTGTACAAGTTAACGATATGGTGCTGCCTTTTTTCACGTATATTTCCGGAGGTCCAGCAATACTTGCTTGAGCATCTGTAAATAAATAAAACAACGATTAGAGAAACTGAAATTCAGCGTCCGGGCTGTGTCAAACCAGGTAAAAAGCATGAAAGATATCAATTTCCATAAAAGATCATGGAATGGAATATTCATTCACTTGTGGTGGAATGAAGCTATTGCGTTATCATTCGTTGAACTCAATATCAAAGAGCCGAAGTCCTCCCTAATTTAATTTCACTATTTTATAAATTGGAGCAAACAAAAGAGGTCGTATTTTCCATAAAGTCAGCATTTTAATGTAACTCCACCAAGTCTGTTTACAAATAATGGAACAATTCCTTAGCCCCGAAACTGTACCATTATCTCCCTATTTATTCGGTAACCACCCCCTTTCTGAAGGTATATCTCCGAGAATAAAGGATTGATTCGCAGCCCCTGGAACTCGCTAATTTCCCGGAATTAAAGGCAAAATAACAGTTACTTAAGTTAATTAAATTACTGCGATTCCGGACGCTCAAGAAGCCACGGGTCGCGGTTATATAATCTACCTTTAATCACTATCCATTATTTTTCGGCTTTTGTGCCGAGCGTATTGTTTTTGTTTAATGTTTGAGGACTGAGTTTTGTTTTTGTATGCAGAGCAACGCATCCTACACATTAATACTTGTTTGTTCAAAATGAAATTGAACTGTAGCTGTAACATTAAGGTGAGAGATGGAAAAAGCAGAATAATTACGCCCTTTGAAAGAGATAGGTTTTTAAAACTTTTCTAACAGAAAACACTTTGTCGAATCGCTAGAGGGATCAAATAATTAAAAACACTCGCAGCCGTATATTGAAAAGACCTTTCAAATAAGACCTTTTGAATAGGGGCTGATACATTTCTAAAAGATACTCATGCCTGTTAGTTGTTGATCTGAATACAAATTTATAATTGTAGGAGTATATTACTCAACTAGGGACAGTAACAGTCTACGATAATAAATACTATATATCTCCTATTATGATACGAGTTATTCTTGGTTTTTAGTAGACGAACTTAAGGTATACTTCAATGTGACATGCGTTATGACCTAATGATAGTTTTGAGCAAAAGCCCGGGATCGTTTGGAAATCTCTAGATAAATTACTAACGAGCTCGATACTACGTATGTATTACACCGGTATTTGCATAGATTTTGTGTCCTCATCCTTTCGGACTTTCGATGTCAAAAGATCAAAGAGAAACCTTTGAACAAGGTACCTCATTATATTGTATTCTGCGAAATTTGTTCGGACATAAAATCGATCCCTATTCTATATAATCTCATTTGGATTAAACATCAAAAACCTATCAAATTCCGCTGGTCATAAAGGGATAATTTCCAACTAATTGCTAATAATTATGTTGTATAGTACGTAGAAGTTCGCTTTACTCTGAATAGGTCTAATGGGACGGATATGCTTTGAATAAGAAAATAATTCTAGTAAAATATTTGTAATTGATAGAAGAAAAACCACAGATGAAAGATTTCTTTCCTTGTGTTTATATTTATGAAAAAAGTAACAAACCATAAATAACTGTATATATTCTGTGACTCATTTACTTTGATTTGAAAGTAATTATAAAGAATCACAACTATTCAATCACAACAAAGTCAATAAATTACTCTCTCGTACATGTTCCATCCCAGCTCCGTTTTGCATCTTCGCGCCAACGTAATAATTCCCTAGTTATTAGAAACTATTTAATAACCTCGTCAGATTAGCCCTAAAGTAATGTTTGGCATGGGGGACTGCTGCACAATATCGAAATTACTAACCGAAGCGGATAACTCACGAAGACCAAGTTCCAAACAGTTCCGGATAGTGTCCGTGCATTTTATGTATTTCGTACGTGAGATGTTAACAAAGTCCTATCGTGGACGGTTTGCGGTTATTATTGGTTCGGCCAGATGTCACTCTCGGGACATATTAGAAAGAGGGAGAAATTTAGCTATTAAATGTTATGGCATGCGGAATATTGTCTGTATTGAGTTTTCAATATTGGAGCAAGTATTCATTTTTGGCAGTGGATATTTGTGTGCATTGAAATGATTTTCAAGGAGAGCATTTCTACGATTTTTCACAAGCCCACATGGGTCTGAGGAAATCCGCAGTCAAATTAGTTTTGAAGCCCTCAGGACTGTCTTCTGATAAAAATAATTGATTGCCGGCCATATGTCGGACAATAACATCTTTATCTCGATCTTCTTTGACTTGTTCATCGTTTTCTTCATTGTTCGTCAGACATTCTCATTAGACATAATTTTTTCCAATTTATCTTACATCTTTGGATAAGAAATCGCTTAGTTACAGCAGTTTTCCATCCATTGAATGAAATTCAAGACATCGCTTCACTTATTGCTGTAGCATGTGTCAAATACACTTTCAATGTCCTGGGGAGCCTTCAATACAGAACACCTACTTTGTCAATTTCTGTTATTTTAGGGTCTTGACCCCCTTTGAGATTACGCTGCGCTCTGCTCATGCTTTTACATCTTTTTCTCTCTCATTTCTTCTCTAACCCGCGCCGTGTCTCAGTGCTGCCTGTCTGCCTGTCTGCCGCCTCGCTCTCCTACCACTACCACTCGACTGCAGCGCAGCTGGCAGCGGTCCTCCTCAGTACGCTTTGACTTTTCCTCGCGATAACATCAACTTTCAACATGTATTATCGCCAGGAAATGTGGTTTTTGTTATTGAGATAACAGGATTTCGAATAAATTAGGCAAGTTCGCAAAACTTGTTATCACCAGCAGAAATTATTATTATTTGAAAATAATATTTGGGGCTTGCCGAAAAATGGGGCCCAAATTGGGGCCCCGCATTTCTATGCTTTGGGTCCTGGCGGCGTGAGACTAAATTTCGAATGATGATGTCGGTAGGTAACGAGACATGAATTATTGTCTGATCGTGGTCAGATTTTAGTTTAGAAAAATAAGGGCCCACGGAAAATCGGAGGCCCAGTACGATAGATCTTGTTATAAGTCACGAGTTATGGGGTACCAAATTTCAGATTTCGAGTTCTAGGTACGTGCTACAAATTTCAGGTTACCAGCATGAGATAGAGGGTATCAAATTTCAAGTTACGAGCTCTAGGTTATATTAGTTTCATATACGGATAATGGGGCCGCGGGTCTAGCAGCGGAGACAAGGGGCTCTTTTCCGATTTTTTTTCTCGAGATTTAGGGACATTTTATTGGCAACGTCGCACATTATTAGTTTCGACAACGTCGCACGTACCTGTCATCTTGTATGATGTATCTCATTTCAGGTTATGAGTTCATATAAATGGGGCCTCTAACATGGGGCCACGGGTCTAGCAGCGGGGACAAGCATGTGGCCCCTTTGCTGACGTCTTTTCAAACTGGGGCTTGCTACTTGGGTTAGGCCTCTTCAAATTGGGGGCTTGCGAAAAAATGGGGCCTCACGAAAAAATGGGGGCCCCGAAATGGGGTACAGGCTTCTTCAATTTGGGGCTTCGCTGATGACGGGGGTCCCAGAACGAGTTTGACGTCACTTCCGCTCTAGAACTCTTGTAGTTCATCTACTACGGTGTTGTATCGTTCGACGAAATTGGTCAAAGTAAATAATTTTTGGATAAAGTAAATAATATTTGGTTGAAGTGAATAATATTTATTTTCATTGGTAAGTGTTGATAATATTTAATATTATTTCTATAGCAGCCTAATGGTTCGACTGTAGCAGCCCTACGGCTCGATTCTAGCAGCCTTTCGGCTCGTATTAAGCAGCCTCTTGGCTCGATTTAGGCAGCCTCTCGGCTCAATTTTAGCAGCCTTACGGATCGATTTTAGCAGCCTTACGGTTCGACTTTAGCAGCCTAACGACTCGATTTCAGCAGCCGTCCGGCTCGATCTTAGTAGCCAGACGGCTCGATACGAGGAGCCGGGCGGCTTGATTTTAGCAGAGTTGTTAGGAAACGACTTGGATCCTCAGATCCTAAACAAGCTTAGATTTGCTTTGCCCACTATTAGCCTGATCCAAGCTTGCGCTCCTGAGGCAACAACACTTCCAGAAAAAGTGTACAAGGTCTTTAAAATTTCTGCGTCGGGCTTATCATAGGTCCTCCGGCTGTAGCGGCAAGAGTTAGAGCGTCAGCAGTACAGAATAAACTGGTAGTGGCCTCCTTGAGTGAGATCAGACTGCTTCTGATTTCTAGAAAAGAGGCTTGTCGTCAGCTCTCTATAGGCTCGTTGGGTGAGGAAACGTCACTCTCACAACCCAGTAGGACTTTCAAGAAAAAGGAGACTCGGTCGGACAAGCTGGGGTATTTTGACGTCGCTGTTGGATCGAATGGGCCAACAGGCTAGGAGTGTAGATGAAGAGTTGACGGAAGAAGAAGACGATATAGTAGAGGATTTTTCGGATGAAGAGTCATTGCATGATAAGACTACCGAAAATGCGTCAGATGATCAGTCCAGTTGGTAGGCCCCCAGCTTGTTTCTTGAACAATCATTACAGGGCATGGATTGTCAGAGGCTTAGTTTATCATCATTTAACAAGATCAGATATCTAGAATCTCAAAATAAACTCCAGACAACGCCCGTGTTTAATGCTTTGGCAGTTAATGTTCAGCTGGAACGCATAAACCCGTTATTTAAATATTCAAACAATCTCATCAGAGTGGACACTTCTCTCGCTTGTATTTCACATGGTTTTCTCCTCCAGTGCGAAGCTTTCCGTAGGAATGTAACATCAAAACATCCTACCCTCAAGAGTGACATACAGAAGATCACGCCAAGCCCAGATTCTAAATTCAGAGCTATTCTAGACGATCTGCTGCAGTACACCTGTGGCCGTAGGCCAGAAGTAATCGAGCAGAGGAGGAAATGCTTCAAACCGAACAGTGCATCAGTTTCCACGCTCGTTTTGAATATCCCACCCTCGGGCACCCACCTATTTCAAGAAGAGCCGCTAGACGAGTTGGCGTTTTGTGGCAACTCCAAGTTTAGGAACCGTCCAAACACATTTCATAGGAAAGAGTATAAGCCAGC